AAGATGAGGTTATAAAAAGTATCTCATAGGACTATTGTGGAACTCAAACGAGAAAATACATATATGTATATATGTGAGTGGCATGCATTCATATACTGATGCATTCCAAATATCTCTTCCCATCAAAACCTATCTCTAGATAACTTCTGAACTCCAGACCTGTCTGGTGAGCTGTGCATTTGACATTGCCCCTTGAATGTCTAATGGGCATCTGCCACTTGACATGTCTAAGACTGAGCTCCTCCATCCTTCCCCATATCAGCTAATGGCATCTCCATCCTTGGTGTCACCCTTGATTCCTTTCTCTCCAACATCCAGTCTGTTAACAAGTCCTGTCACTCTACTTTCAAAATATATCCAGAATTTGACTGTTTCTCACACCTGCCACCACTATCCTGGTTCAAGCCAATGCCCTCTCTTGGCTAGGCTTTGTAGCAGCCTCATAATTGCCTCCTTGCTTCTGCCCACCCCTGCAGTCCCTTCTCCACACAACACTCAGAATGATAAGTCCAATCACAGCACTCCTTTAATCAAAACCTGACCAGGGCTCCATCTCAGTCAAAGTGAAGGGTGAAACCCTATGATGACCTACAAGCCCTTCCATGATGTGGTCCATCATTATTCTGTTATCTCCTACAGTTCTTCCCTTTGTTCATCTGCTCCAGCCCCAATGCTCCTGCTCTTCCCAGAATGTGCCAGGAACACTCCTGCCTCAGGGCCTTTGCACTTGTGGTTTCCTCTGCCTGGAATCCTCTGTCCTATTTAGCCACACGTCTAACTTCTCACTTCCATCAAGTCTTTACTTAAAAGCTACAGTGTGAGGAAGTCCTTCCCTAGACACCCTATTTAAAATTTCAACACCTGCCCTTGATGTCATATTCTCCTTCTTTGCTTTATTTTTTTCTTTAGTATTTACCAATAGCATGCTCTATATTTTATTTATTTATATTGTTTATTAGCTTTCTTTCCTACCAGAGTATATATATATGCTTATGAGGAGATATATATATAAAATCTCCCTACCAAAATACCCCTGCTCCCCAAAGGCAGGGATTTTTGTTTTATACACTTTATATCTCCAATGCTAGGACAGTACCTGGCACATAGTAGGCACTCAATAAATTTGTCAGTACCACATTTTACAAAAGAGAAACCTGAGGTTCGCTGTGATTAAATAATTTACTCAAGATCACACAGAAAGACAGCGGCAGAGTTGGGTAGTTAACCGTTCTATGGTGCTTTACAACATAAGAAGCCCATTTAGCAAAAAGAGCAGTATCGGTGGCCTCTCTCCAGTCTTCCTCCCCACCACCAGCTAAAGAAAGAAAATATTTCAATGAGGAAGGATTAGGGGTGGAGACTTCGTGGTGTTGCCCTGTGGACCCTTGGCTAGGGCGCCCAGATTTGAGTGTTCTTAAGCAAGGAAGCAGGGGAGCCATCTCAGCACTTGTTCTGAAGCAAGAAGGCCAGTGACTGTAATTAAACGAAGACAAGGGGGAAGGGGTACTCGGCTGCACAGGAAGATATGCTGAGTCCATTTGAAATGGTTGGGGAGATTTTTTTACACAGTTATCACCATCAAGCCCTGTCTCACTGGCAATGCCACCCAGACTCACTGTGCCGCCTAAAAATTCCTTCCTCTTCCATCCATCGCATTGAATACACAAAGAGAAATCCTAGCAGAATACAGGCCGAGCAGTCAGAGAGCACCCCTATAGTTAGATCTGCTAAAGCTTTGTTGGAATGAGGGCAGTGATTTTTAAAGAGCATCTTGTTTTGAGGAAGAGAGAATTTGGTAGGACAGTGGTTGTGTTAGCAGGCAAGGCCTTTTTCGCCTCCCACTTGGGAAGCCCCATTGCTGGCCCTCTCCCTCCATGGGGACCCAGCCCCCTCTGGGAAGTGGAGCTTTTAGAACCAGAGCCCAGGCAGGCAGAAGGCTTCCCTAACAGTTCAGAAGGTGGAAGCAGTGGCAGGGCATGAGTGGAAGCCAAAGCCTGCAGGCTGCAGTCAAACCAGAGGCGGCGGATTCCATAGGGTCGGGGCAGAGCAGAGTCAGAGCAAGGGCCAGGGGAACCATGGCCCCTCTGAGCTACAGCATCCTCATTGCCAGAGTGCGTCCATCCTGAGTCTGCGGTGAAGAGTAAGTGAGAGAAAGCCTATGGCATGCTTAGCCCGGCATCCAGCACCGAGCTAGCTGTCAGCATGTGATTTCTGTCTCCTTTCCAGGGGCAAAATGAGGACTAACAGAGGCTCTTTGCAAAGGTACTGGGTTGCAGCCCAGAGAGTGGAGGAAGAGAAGGAAGCACTTAAGTTGCAGAATGCCTCTGTGGGCAACGTTCAGCTGCTTCCTGTGCTCCTTAGAGGTGCCCTCAAGGAGCAGCCGCAGCAGGCCGTCGCTTCTGGGCTTCCCTTCAGAGCCTCTGCCTCTTCACAGGCACTCACACCAGTTCCCAGGGCCCTTGGTCCGGGCCCGTGTGCTTCACCCAGATCCCCTCTTCAGCTGATGTCCCCAACCCTGGCTGCTGCCCGTTCTAGGGCTTGCCCTTGCCCACATGTTCACCCAGCCCAGGAGGCACCCTGAGGCCAGTGGCGGACGATGAGGTGATACCTTACAATTTGGGACAGCTCTAAAAGAGCGATCCGGCTCTACTGGATCTGCTGGAGCTCACTGTGGGTGAGCTTCTGCCTGGGCCCATCCTGCCTGCCTCCCTTCCTTGTAAGCATCTCCCAAAAACACGCTCCAAAAGCCTTCTGCGCGGGACTCCCGGGAGCCCAACCTCAGGCCACCAGTCCCTCCACTGTCTGTTGTCTTTGCCCCTCCAACCACACCCTCTCCTCTGACCTCCTGGGCACCTTCCTTCCACTAAAATGCAGTCATATTGTATGCCAACGACTGGAAAATGGGTGTTGAGGGGTTAATATGTTGCCCAATAAAAACAGTGATAATTATATGGGAACCAACCTTCACATGCAGCTAGCAATCTGCAAAGCACACTTACATACATGATTTTTTTTTTTTTTTTGCGGTACGTGGGCCTCTCACCGTTGTGGCCTCTCCCGTTGCGGAGCACAGGCTCCGGACACGCAGGCTCAGCGGCCATGGCCCACGGGCGCAGCCGCTCCGCGGCATGTGGGATCTTCCCGGACCGGGGCACGAACCCTCGTCCCCTGCATCGGCAGGCGGACTCTCAACCACTGCGCCACCAGGGAAGCCCCTACATACACGATTTTATTTGCAAAGCAGAATAGCATGATAGTCTCCGAAGTGCTTCTGCCTGGACTTGAATCTTGGTCCTACTACTTATTAGTCTTGTAACCTTGGCCCATCTACATAACCTTTCCAGTGCTCAATTTCCCCATCTGTAAAATGAGGATATTAATGGTCCCCTCCTCCTAAAGTTTTTGTTAGAATTAAATGAGCCAGTACATGGACAGGTTTCGGAATAGCCATGACACATAGTAAGCACATAGTATGCATTAGTTATTAGTATTTGATCCTCACAAGAACCCCAGGAGGTGTTATAGTTACTGCCTGTGTTGGACACCTCTCATGCACACCTCGTACTCTCAGCCCACCTTTTCACTCCAGCTGCTCCTGCAGCCACCTGGTGGCACCTTGCTCAGCTGTACTGCTTATTTCTTACTTCCTGCCCTGACTTCTCTGCCACCATCACTTGAGATGCCCGTGGACCACACTCAGCCATTCTGACCCAAGCAAACTTGGAAGTGTGAGAGAGCTGACATCCCATGGGGACCCTTGGACCAAGGAAGAGTTGGAGCCAATGGGAAAACAGTGCCTTCTCTCATTCTTTGAGAGAATAATTCTGAGGTATAATGTGTCCCATCAAGGTCCAAGTTCAGTTGCCTGTAGCAGTGGGCACCCCCATCTTGACTTTCCCTCCTTTCATTTCCCACTTCCCAGCTGCCTATTCCTGTTACTTGAGCTCACTTTCCCCAATAAACGACCCACATAGAAGCCCTTGCCTCATGCTCTGCTTTGGGGAACCATCTAGCTGTGAACAAGAGAAGAGTGAAAGAATAAAAAGAGGCTTGTTTTGCATCCAGAATCAGATCTGGGCTCAAGGCCAAAGCCTTCCACCTCCCTAGTCTCATTTCCTCACGCTGTGCTCCCTCCAAGTTCATACATGTGCATCTTAACAGAGGCCTCCCAGAAGCTTGGTCGCTTGAAGGCAGGTCAGGGAGGAATCAGCTATGAACGGGCAGCTTTGGACATTTTCATTTCAGAGCCCCTTTCCTGTCCCTACTTAGAGCTGGTCCTACACAGCTGGAGGTTTCACCTGACTGGGGCCTGGGGCAGAGACTGTGTCAAATTTGTCTCTGTACCTCTAGTACTCAGGGCCTGGCCTACAGAAGGTGCTCAGGGAACGTTTGCTGGATGAACAGACCCAGGAATCCAACTATTGATGGTTTCTTTATAATTTTTACTTTTTATGTGGCTGTGCCTGTTCCTATACTTAGTTTATTTTTAGCTGGTTTGGAATGTAATCTCAGAGGGACAGAGAACATTTTAGGGAAGGGGTTGTTTACCTTTTACCAAGCTAAGTTAGTACAGAATCATGTGCCAGAAAATTATTCAAGGAATACAGGATATTTCTTGAAATTATTGAAAAAAACCTGATTGTCAGGTTGAATGACTGATGGAAGAAAGAAAAGCTGTTAAAAAGCTGTCCTCCTGCGGCTTGGAGGACAAATGCAGCTTTAAGATGCATGGGTTTCATGATTTTATATTGAAATTCTGAAGTATGCTGTGGGTCCTTCCACTCCCTATAGCTTCTACCTGTCCTAATCCTCAAATTTGTGTTACCTGCCTAGCCCTTGTAGGTATCTGGGTTTGTGACCCCCATACAGAGTGACACACAACAGGGCACAAGAGCTGAAGGAGTTGAGCAGTGCCACTGCTGACTTTCCCTGCAGCTTACTCACCTATCCCCGCCACCATCAACAGGTGCCCAACGATAGCATGACATCCTGCCTTCCAGGTACTACAAGATCAGCGTGGTGCTCATGTGCTTCATGGTCCCCACACTGGTGCCCTGGTGCATCTGGGGAGAGAGTCTGTGGAATTCCTACTTCCTGGCCTCCATCCTCCGCTACACCATCTCACTCAATGTCACCTGGCTGGTCAACAGTGTCGCCCACATGTACGGAAACCGGCCCTATGACAAGAACATCAGCCCTCGGCAGAACCCGCTCGTCACCCTGGGTGCCATCGGTGAGTATGGGGTGGGAGCCGGTGGGGGGAGTGGCAGTTCAGATCTTCTAGGCTTCTCAGTGGTTTTGTGGAATCTGTAAAGAGAGGCAATGGGGTGGAGGAAACTGGGATGAACTTGGGCTCTGGCCTTAGAATCCGAGCCACTTACTCTCTGATTTGCAGTTTTCTTACCTGTGGAATGGGAACGGGAATGCCGGCTTCATCGGGGTGTTATGAGAATTAACTAAGACACTGTGCATAAACTGCTTAGCACAGTGCCTGGCACACAGCAGGCGATCAACAATTAGTAGCTATTTATTTTTACCACGGAAAATTTCCTAAAGGAGGAGTAGCAGTTGATGTCTCTCTCAAACTGCCCTGACCGCTATAGCCTCAGCTGTCCATCGTTTGGCTGACCTTAAACATAAATTAATTCATTAAAAGGCCTGCAAACAGAGGGATGGGGAGAATCGGGACCTTGGCATCTCGCGGTACCACAGAATGGTTAAGAGCAAGGCTTCTGGAGTCTGACAGGTTTGCTTGAGTCTTGGTTGCTCCACCTACTCTCTGGGCAAGTTATCTAGCTCCTCCATACCATGTGTTCTCATCTGTAAAGTGGGGGTAACATATAGTAGCATTGACCTCCGCCTGGGGTCGCCGGAGGGTTAGATGAGTTAATACATGCTGTTTGCAGCAGTGCTTAGCAGAAAACAAGCCTTCGGGGATGTTGTTTTTCTTACTAGCCGTATGGTCTTAGGCAGGTTACTTGTCCCTTCTGTGCATTTCCATCCTCATTTTAAAATGGGGATAATCGGGCTTCCCTGGTGGCGCAGTGGTTGAGAGTCCGCCTGCCGAGGCAGGGGACACAGGTTCGTGCCCCGGTCCGGGAAGATCCCACATGGCGCGGAGTGGCTGGGCCCGTGAGCCATGGCCGCTGAGCCTGCGCGTCCGGAGCCTGTACCCCGCAACGGGAGAGGCCACAACAGTGAGAGGCCTGCGTACCGCAAAAAAAAAAAAAAAAAAAATGGGGATAATCATAGCAGATAGCTTAGCTATGTGAGGATTATAGGCATTAATACCCTTTGAAGAATTTAGCATGGTGGCTGGCACACAGTAAGTGATTAATAAATGATAGCTGTATCTTGATAGAAGCAACTCAGTCTCCTGGGTAACCTGAGCCTTGAGTACAGAGATCAAACCCAGGAAGGGAGTTTCCTGCTGTTAAGTTGAAACAGTCTCTGCATCCCTCTGCCATGGGTTTCTGCCATCATGGTGTTAGGGTCACCCATTTATTAAGACCCCAGGGATCTTGTGTTGACAAGAGCAATATAAGGTGGAATAAACACCAAATTTAGCTATGGGAATAACTGGATAAGCAGAGAGAAAAGTGTGAGTTTCCTGATCCCTCCTATTGTTTTCTCCTCCTCTCACTCTTCATCTTCTATAAGAATTGTAACGAGGGGAGCCACATCCAGTGGTAACTCTGAGAGCAGACGAGAGTGGGCACTCTGGGACTGTTACCATCTTACATAGGGGATGGTGGGCCAGGGAACCCAAAGAATGAGGCCATGACACAGGCCCTGAAGAACTGGGTGTTGGTTTGAAGCTTGTCCAGGTCAATACTGGACTCTCAAATCAGCTTTCTTGATAAAGGTCCTTGGAAGACTCTTATTACACCCACTGTATGATAGATGGGGGAATACATCCAGAGTTCTTAGAACAGTGCCTGTATCTGAAAATAGGGGAAAACTCTAGTACTCTAGTCTAGGAATGATGGGGTGGAGGGCCAGGTTAGAAAAGACCTAAATTAAACAGAAAATTGCAGACAACAGACTGATCCATCTGATATACTCATTGTAGAGCAGAATCTTTCAAATGTGGTCAATAGAAGAACTGTATGATGACCAGTAGCCACTTAAGAAGTAAAGGAGGAATCTGGCAGTTCCTTGAATGGTTAAAAATAGTTACTACGTGACCCAGCAACCCCACTCCTAGATTTATACCCAAGAGAAATGAAAATGTATGTCCACATAAAACCTTGCTTATGAGTGTTCATAGCAACATTATTTATTTATAACAGCTAAAATGTGTCCCTCAACTGATGAATGGATAAATACAATGTGGTATATCCATACAGTGGAGTACTCTTCAGCAATAAAAAGAAATGAAGTACTGATATCTGCTACAATCTTGAAAACATTATGCTATGTGAAAGAAGCCAGTCACAAAGGATTACATATTGTATGTTTTCATTTATATGAAATATTCAGAATAAGCCAATCTTATTGGCTTAGTATTAGTAAAAGTGAGAAACAGAAACAGTATATGTATAAATATATGCAAATAAATATATACATAATATTGCTCATAATCTCTCTCTATATATACATATATACAGAAACAGTAGGATATCTCTATCTATATAAATGTAGATGTATTCTGTTTGTACATGTGTGTGTGTGTGTGTGTGTGTGTGTGTGTGTACGACGGGAGGGGGGGCGTGGCGGGGAGCAAGCAAGAGAGAGAGAGAGAGAGAGAGATTTATTTTGAGGAATTGGTTCATGTGATTATGGAGGCTAAGTCCCACCATCTGCTGTCTGCAAGCGGGAGACCCAGGAAAGCCAGTGGCATAATTAAGTCTGAGTCTGAAGGCCTGAGAACCAGGGGAGCTGATGATGCAAATCCCAGTCAGAGGGCAGGAGAAGATGAGATAGACGTTCAATCAGTGAGTCAGGAAAATGGGAGCAAATTCCTCCTTCCTCCACCACTGATTCTATTCAGGCCCTTAAGGGACTGGCTGATGCCCACTCACATTGAGGAGGACCATCTACATTACTGAGTCCACTGCTTCAAATGCTAATCTCATCCAGAAACGCCCTCACAGACACACCCAGAAATAAAGTTTAATCTGGGCACTCCTTGGCCAGTCAAGTTAACATGTAAAATTAGGGGCTTCCCTGGTGGTGCAGTGGTTGAGAGTCCGCCTGCCGATGCAGGGGACACGGGTTCGTGCCCTGGTCCGGGAAGATCCCACACACACACACACAAAAAATGTAAAATTAACCAACAGAGAAAGAAAGAAGGGCTGGAGGGAGGGGGGATGGTTAAGGGCCAACAGCTAAGGGGAGTGGGGTGTCTTTTTAGGTAATGAAAATGCTATAAAATTCATTGTGGTGATGCATGCACAGCTCAGTGAATACACCAAAAGCCATTAAATTGTATTCTTTACATGGGTGAATTGTATGGTAAATTATATCTCAATAAAGCTGTTTTTTAAAAAGAAAAAGAAAGAAGCTGTGAGACTTTTCCTGAAAACAGCTTAGTGGGGGGAAAAAGTAAGGGAGGAAAAGCTATTCACTGTGAGAGGCAGAATAATATATAGGCAGATTTTGGATATTTAAAGATCCAACTCCTTAATTCACTCACCTATCAGAATGATTATCATTTATCTCTTCCAAGCTCTTCCAGGAAGTCTTCCTTTAATTACTTCAATCCACAGAGGCTATTTTCCTTTTATGAACATAAAGCAAAATGATGATCTGTTATCAGCCATTTGGCATTTAGCTTAAGAAGTACAGCTCTGAAGTCGTGGGAGCATGTCACCAATCCACAGGGAAAATTACTCTTGATACTTTGTGCTGATTATTGTTATTTTTCTGTTCCTATTGAGATTGTCTAGCCAACTGAGTGAACGCTTCCTAAGGGCAGACAGCAAGTCTTCTGCTCCCCACTGGAGCCTGACACAGTGTCTTGTAATAAATGAGTGATTTTTAGAAAGCTCTACAGAGAGATGCTGATTGGGTTATTTCAAGCCCACTTTGTCTTCCAGGTGAAGGCTTCCATAACTACCATCACACCTTTCCCTTTGACTACTCTGCGAGTGAATTTGGCTTAAATTTCAACCCAACCACCTGGTTCATTGACTTCATGTGTTGGCTGGGACTGGCCACTGACCGCAAACGGGCAACCAAGCCGATGATCGAAGCCCGGAAAGCCAGAACTGGAGAGGGCAGCGCCTGACCCTGGAAGCGCTATCCACATCCGCTGTCAACGCCTCGGTTCATGGCCTTTGTTACTACAGTTCTCTTGTTCATTGGATCGTGGGAGGGGGTACAGGGTGGGGAGGGAACGGAGTCTACGCGGTTTGGGAATTTTTTGTTTGTCTCAAACTAATGTCAAGATACAACTCTCAATGAAAATAATTTTTTAAAAGTCAGTGTAACTATGATTTAACACTAGAACGTAGACATGTGATTTAATCGCTGTAGCTACAATATGTCAAACATACATCGTCATGTGCTTGTACGAGATGTTAACCCTGACAGGATGAAGGAATTTAATATTCTTTCAGTGTGATTCAGGAGAGCCTTGTTTTCTTTTTCTACCAGTTAACCCAACGTTATTTTTAAACAGGCTATCTGAAGGAGCAGAGAGGCAGGGTAGAAGACAAAAGAGAGGGTCTAAATAGTAAAGAATGTTTGTGTTTTGTAATTACTGTGTGTTTGTGTTTTGTTATTTTTAAGGAAGAGAATTGAAAACGTAAAAAAATGACAGCACAGGAAATGGCTCTCTTATTTTTTTGCCCTGTTTCCAGCTTGTCAATGCTCCACTGTCTTTGCTTCAAGAGATCTGTTCACTGCTCAGCTAGTTTTGTGTCCCGAGCTGTACACCCAGCTGACCCTATAAGTCAGTTCCTGTTTTAAGTGTTTGATTTTGTTCTCTTTGCTATTGTCATTTTAAGGTGTATAACTCAGAAGTGCCAGACATCAAATTAAGCTCAAATGAAACTCTCATTTAAATGTTTAGACACCTAATTTATATTCTAATTGATCCCAGCCACTGATGCATGTACTTTACCTACTTCTGCTAAATAAGCATATTAATTTTCTACACCAGGCAATCAGATCTTAATAACCAATAGTTATCTAGAACTCAGTGTCTACAAATGTTTCACCTGCATGCAGCCTTCACTGAACTTGCAGCAAGACATAAAGTGACCATTATGTAGCTTCTGGATTTAAGAAAAATTTGTGTGTTAAGTTGCCTTGTAAAGAGCATGCCAAATTAATGGGACAGCGTTCCGCTTTGTGTTAGATGTTAGAGCAAAAGAAAGCCTTATAGTGTTGGCATCAGAGCACTTCGAACATAGTGCTTCAAAGATAGGGAAGATGTAGGGTTTAAATTTAAATTTTAAATTTTTGAAAAAGAGGTGATGCCAATAAGAAATTGTCATAATAAAGTACTTCATCCAGCAGGTGTTTTTGCCATTTATAATGTGTAAACTATGAGTGATTTACAATAAATGATTATGAATTCATTGGTGTTCTTGACCAGACACTTAAATCTTTTTTTTTTTTTTTTAATTCGGCCGTGCCGCACGGCATGTAGGATCTTAGTTCCCCTACCAGGGATCAAACCCGCGCCCCCTGCAGTGGAAGTGTGAAGTCTTAACCACTGGATTGTCAGGGAAGTCCCCGACCAGATACTTATATCTTGTTGGAATGTCCCTCAAGGGTTCCTGATGCTTTATGATGATCACATACTTCACATTTGAGTTGGGCTCTGGGCTAACATCAGCCCCTAAGACCAGACCTTTCCTATCCCATCAGCATAACCAGAAGGAAAGTCAGCAAGTTTTATGTGGAATGCAGAACCCCCAGTGGTATCATTTCTCACTCACCAACACTGTCGCTTGTACTGCTTCCAGCTGACCAATGGGAACCCAACACCTACATGTCACTCAAAAGAGCATGAAGAATACTTTCCTCCCCAGAGCCCTGCCAGGCCCCCCAGCAGTGACCAGAGGAGGGGGAGATGGACTCAACTTTCACTCCAACCCCACCTCTCTCAGCTTTGCCCCTCCATGTGCTGCCTCACTCTTTGCCCATCTTTTGTCCCAAAGCAGCTGTGCCCCTGCCATCAGCTATAGACATCTTAGCCTGTCTGCAGTTGAGCAGGAGTCCAGCCATCAGGGGGTGCCGGACCAGACTTCACTTGTAAGGACACTTACAAGGCATTTTTCAGCTGCTTTTGTGTTCTGGTCACAGATTGCTAAGACCTTGTATGGAGTGTTGGTAGAGTGTAGATGTATTCCAAGATGAGTTTGTGTCAGCCTGAACTAAAATGACCCTGACTGGGAAAGTTTCTGTGAACATTTGACCCCTAAAAGTACTAAACTTATTTGCTTGTCCATTAATAGAAAAGGTTACATTTGGAACAGCTATTTGGAATCTTCTCACAAGAGGAGGCTGTTCCACAGCTAATCCAAATAAATCCAGAACCTCACTCCTCTGAACCTGAGTGCCACGTCTTTATCGGCAGTACCCATGAATGAGATAAGGACGGCGATGATGTTGATGGAGTGGATGAAGTTTAGAGCATGCTGGAGTCTTCCATATTCATATCCCCTGCATGTCTCAGCAGCATCTAAGAGTGCAGTTTTCTCATCTGCAAAGGGAAGGGATGAAACCAGACTGTCTCAGGTGCCACCCAGCCCTAACATTCACTGGCAACAGCAGAGATGGGAATATACCTGCATTCAGATTTCAAACACCTCTCAAGTTACTGCCTTTCTAGGACCTGGGAGGTCAAAATTCAGGGGAAATAATTGAGTCTGAGTGGGAGATCACTGTGTGAGGCCAAAAGGATATGTTCTCGGTAAAAATAGTGCATGTGTCTCATTTATTTGCAAAATATGATGAAGCAATAAAAGTAAATATAATCCATGAAAAATAACTTAAAGAAAGTACTCCAGCTTAGTGAAGTAGTAGAAATAGCACTGGACTCAGAGACCTGAGTTAGAATTCTCTTTTTTTTCCAACTGAGATGAACTTGACATATAACATTATATTAGGTTCAGGTGTAGAATTTTGTGATTTGATATTTGTATATACTACAGAATGATCACCACAGTAAGTCTAGTTAACACCCATCACCACACATATTTACAAATTTTTTTTCTTGTGATGAGAACTTTTAAGATCTACCCTCTTACCAACTTTCAAATATACAATACAGTGTTATTAACTCTAGTCACCATGCTGTACATTACATCTCCAGGACTTACTTAGCTTATAACCGCAAGTTTATGCCTTTTGACCACCTTCACCCATTTCCACCACACCCCTCAGCAATCTGTTCTCTTTATCTATGAGTCTGTAGGGGCTACAGACTCATAGATAAAAGCTAAAAATTTTTTTAGAAAATTTTTTTCTAAAAGAAAAATTTTTTTTAGATTCTATTATACTTATAAATGAGATCATACAGTAATTGTCTTTCTCTATCTGACATATTTCACTTAGCATAATGCCCTTAAGGTCCATTTATGTTGTCACAAATGGCAATTTTGAATTCTAACTCTTGGTTTAACTTGCTGTGTTTTTAGGCTGACCCACGTGGAAGTGCCATTTACTAACCCACTGTGCCTCTCTGAACCTCAGTGTCCTAATCCACAAAATAGGAACAGTAACACTTATGCATCGGAGAAACCTGGATGCCCTGAGCACAGGACCTGGCGCCTCGCAGACCCCCAGGAGACATCCGCTGGGGGTGCGTGGCTGTCCCAGTCACGAGATGAAAACCGAGATGGAACCAAATAACTGCAGACTAGAAATGAGGAGGACCAACTTCCAGTTCTGGTTTTGCTCCTAACTAGCTAGATGGTGAAATGTAGCAGAATATGCCCAAATCTGCCAGTTTGACATAAGATTATTTTGAGTTAAAGCCACTTGAAAAACAGCAGATGCAAGCAGTGTGCTCTGACTTGCTTTTTCCTTCCTAAAAGCAGGAGAGGAAACTCCCGTGTGAAAGATACCCTCTCTGTACCAGGAGGAAAGAAACGTTCTTATCTCCATAGACAGGGAACAGGTACCAAGAGAAATCAGTACAAACAAACCTTGTTTAAACAGCCCTTATCTTGCTTGAGCTTCCCCATATACTTTAGTTACTTGTTCACAATTACTACTCTTTGTTCAACCTAGTATATGAGCATTTAGACCCAACCACTTTGGGGGGTGGTCTTCATTTTTCTGTGAAGGCTCCCATGTCCATGTAATAATAAAACCTGTAAGCTTATCTCCTCTGAATCCATCTTATGTCAACTTAATTCTCAGGCCCAGCCTGATGCTAAGAGGATAGAGGAAAAGTTTTGCCTCCCCTACAATGGCTCTAACTTCTCAGAGCTTCAGTGTCCCCTTCTGTAAAGGAACCGATTGGACTGGGTTATCCCGTCCAGCTCTGCCGTTTCAGTAAGTCTGTCGTCTCTGTGGACAGCAGAGACAGCAGAGGACAGGACTGTAGAGCCTCCGTCCAGCCTGGTGTGGGTCCCTCTGCATCTCTGGCTTCCTTCCTGCACCTTCAAAACCCCATCAGAGGACAGGTCTGGCTTGCAATGTCCTTTATGCTTCCGTCAGCTTCCTCACATGATTCAGAAAGAAAAGACCAGCTGACAGCACCTGAGCCGGCTGGGTTGTGAAGGCTTTGCCCTGAGAAGGTGCCCTTCCTCACAGCACTCGCTGAGGGGGTACCCTTCTTGACCTACAGTTACTAGGGGAAAAGTGACTGTGCCTTCCACCATCTCTCCAGATCCCTACAACTCGGGGTTCCCCACCCTGCAGTGAACGAACAGACAAAGCCACTGGGTCCCACTGGATGGGGTGTGGTTGTGTTTTTATTACCAGATTTCACTTAAGCCTGTGCTGACGGGATGTGGATTGCGGAAACACAGGAGCTGTGTGTAGACAGGTGCTCCTTTCCTGGGCTGTATGAGGACACTGCGTGTGAGGGTGAGGCCCCTACCAGGTACGCGGTGTGATCATTGTGATCATTGGTTCGTGATGACCTGGACTGCTAACTGGGATATCCAAGGTCTCAAAGCAAGAGCGAATGAGCAGTGTGGGCGATGGCGTTCCAGCTCCAGCACACAGGCTTCTCACACCTGATGGGGAGGGGATGGGAAGACCCACATCAGCTCCTTCCTGGCCCTGCAGGTGCTGCCCGTGAACTCATAAACAGCTCCTTGAGAGCCAGCGGGACTCCCTTCTGTGGACTCAAAAGCACTTAAGAGCTCCTGGCATCGTAAAGTGCTCATTCCAGATGTGCCAGGCAACAAGCACATCTATTTGCACTGTTCTCTACACCTCCTGCTAGGCTGAGCTGTTTGTAACACACAGGATCCAAATTCTTAGAGTCAGCTTGTTAGAATCCATACACAGTCGCACCATAGCCAATGGAGGCAAAACAGGAAAAATGATCTGCAAGTGGATACTTTGGGCTGGATGGTTTCAAAACATTATTTTAAAAGTGAAAACCTTGATTTTGCCCCGAGGTGGGAAATTTTTAAGCAATGATACATTGGAGGCTTTTCCACCACCTGTTTGTTCGGTTTGAAGCCAGGGACTTGGATCCGTTTAAAGACACCGAAATGGTCAGGCCATTTCAATGTGGTTTTGTTTAAACATTGCTTGACTCCTTGGCCCACATTTATACAACCCAGAGGTGCTTAGACTGTTAGCTGGGAGAGAAACAGCCTAAGGAAAATATGCAAAAGTTCTGCTTCTTCATCCATAATATGTAGGAGGTAGAACAAATGATTGCTTACATCCGTTCTTAGATCACAAACTACAGGAATCAATGGCAAGCAGGCTTAGGAGACGCTAGATTCTGCTTTACTCAAGCAAAAGATGTGGCCAGAAACCATCCTAGCTATGTATCCCTAGAAAAGAAAAGAAGAGAAGAGTCTCAAAGACAGAGCTTCACTCAGAAAACTGACCCTCTGTTGAAGTCCATGTAAACAGCTGTCGGTGGAGATCATTTTGTTGATATTCATGGGACGTCATTTCGATGGCTAGATATTTCTAAACAATCTTGGGGGGGGGTTGTTTGTTTTTGTTTTGCTTTGTATTGTTTTGTTTTTTAAGTTTTCATCTAAGAGATGTCCTTAAAATGATCATAGCTGTGTACAGGAAATTGCAGCATTATAATACTTGGAAACGGTAACATGCTTCAGAATGAGGTCACCGACCATCACAGGCCGCAGTGATTTGGCTGCCAAAGCTCCTCACTCCATGTCAGAACCGGGCTGTGTGCATAAAGCTCAGAGATCATTTAAACCTTCCAACCAACTTGTCTTGGTTAATCTGATTGATATACTGTCTTTTGTTTTAACAGTGTGTTGTTTTTCCATTTGCTTTAACTTCAGCACTGCCACATAAGAGAGAAAGAGAAAACAGAACAGCTTGAAGAGGTGTAAAAATATAACTACTCTTTGAAAGTATGCATATTTCCCTTTTTTTTTGGCTACTTTCTTTTCATTTGTCT